AGTTATTCACGATTAACTCAGGAACAAAGAGAATTGTACATCGAAAGAGTGAAAGACAGAAGAAGGATATCTAATAATCAGAATAGAAGTACAAGGCAAAGGATTGATTGGTTACAAATTGTCCACATAAACTCCTATGAATCTGAAGGTTAGTTAAATAAAATATATTGAATGAAAATCATTAAGTTCTCATTACTTTACTGATAATCATCATATATTCTTTCATAGGAAAAACAATATATGAACCAATATGTTGTGCGTTACATCAGTTAGAAAAAGTCATGTTTTGTGTCCACTGTGGCGCGAAGAAGCTCCAATATGAACCCCCAACATTATGCTGTTATAATGGTCAAATACAACTAGCGATTGTTGAAGTTCCAGAAGAGCTGCACAATTTGTTTACAACCAATTCTGATGAGGCGATTGAATTTCGTAGGCACATTCGAGCTTATAATAGCATTTTTTTCATTTACATCTTTTGGAGTTAATCTTGACAAGGAACTTGCGACGGCTAGACAAGGAGTTTGTACATTTCGTGTCCAAGGACAGATTTATCATGACCTTCCAGCCTTGATGCCAGAACAAAACAGTCCGTGTTACTTTCAGTTATTTTTCTTTGATACTGAAAATGAAGTGCAAAATAGATGAGGTTATTACAAGATATCAACCTAGATGAGGGAGTTATAAATAAATTGCTGAAAGTCCTTGAAGGGAATCCTTATGCTCAATTCTTACGTAGATTAAAAGATTTTCTATCTTTGGATAATTTTGAAATTCATATTACAAAGGATATTAAACTATATCAACGAGTTTACAATTCCCCCTCATCAGACCAAGTTGCGGGTATATGGATTGAAGGAAATAATCCTAATGCTCCTCTAGAAAGAGATATCATCATGCTTGCACACTCTGGCCGCAGACATAGAGTTAAACATTATTTTGGGTGTTATGATCCATTACAATATCCTCTATTGTTTCCCAAAGGAGAGGTTGGATGACATCAAAATATCAAAAAGAAAAATGATTCTCGCAATGGTGCTTCTAACAAATATACAACCAGTTCAACAAGCGCTATGTTCACATCCGTAGAAAATATCTTTCATCGAGAACAAAAAGGTAATACTAAATACAAATATCTCAAAAACATATATTGAGTCTTATTTCAATAGATTAAATTCCTAAATATTTTTACATTGTAGATGTTGGACCTGAAAGCTCAGGAAAAGTATCATGTCGGGAATACTATTCCTACAAGCTACATATTAGAGAGAATAGTCAATCTACACTCCTATTTGTTGGTCGATTATTCCAACAATTTGTAGTCGATATGTATATTAAACTTGAGACTACTAGGTTAGATTACTATCAGAGGCAACAATCAAAAGTAAGAGCTGAATTATACCAAGGGATAGTCGACAGTGTGACAACATGAGAAACTAGAGGAAATCAAGTCGGCCAAAGAATAGTTCTTCCTGCATCATTTGTTGGAGGACCTCGGGACATGCGTCGTAGATATCTTGATGCAATGGTCTTAGTACAACGATATGGAAAACCAGATCTTTTCATTACCATGACATGCAATCCTGAGTGGAAGGAAATCAAGGAAGAATTGAAAGAAGGCCAAATTCCTCAAGACCGTCCAGATTTGACCTCAAGGGTGTTTTGAGCAAAACTGCATGACCTTAAAGACCAATTGTTCAAGAAGGAAATCTTTGGGAAAGTTGTAGCACACGTCCATGTAATAGAGGTTCAAAAAAGAGGATTGCCACATGCACATATATTAATAATCATGAAGACGGATACAAGATCATGACACCAGATGAATATGATAAATTTGTATTTGCCAAAATTCCTGATGAACAACAATATCCGTCACTACATGAAATTGTTGTTAGACATATGTTACATGGCCCCTGCAGTGATCTAAATAAAAACAATTCATGTATGGTGAACGGAGACTGCAAGAATCGTTATCCTCGAGGATTCTGCTCAAAAACAATGCAAGGAAAAGATGCCAATCCACTTTATAGAAGAAGAAATGACAAGCGGCAAGTACAGGTACGTAATAAAATGTTGGATAATAGATGGGTAGTTCCTCACAATCTATACCTTATTACAAGGTACAATTGTCACATCAATGTTGAGATATGCTTTGGTTTGAAAGCTGTTAAATATCTCTATAAGTACATCTACAAAGGTCATGATAGGGTTGTCGTATATATTGCCTTTCCTGATGGAGACAACGTAATTGATGAGATTCAACAGTTTCAAGATGCAAGATGGGTATTTGCACAAGAGTCAATATGGAGAATTTTTGAATTCAATTTAAACGAGATGTATCCACCAGTAATCAACTTGCAATTACACCTCCCCAAAAAACAATTAGTGTGTTATTGGGAGACTCACAATCTACAACAAGTCATTCTCTAGGACCACATCACGAAAACAATGCTCATAGAATTCTTTAATACTTGCTTAAATGACATTGACGCAAGGATATATCTATATAGAGAATTCCCAGAACATTATGTGTGGAACAAGCAGGGTAAATGTTGGAGTAAAAGAAAAAAAAAAGAAGTTATTGGTCGTATGAATGGAGCAAATCCTATCAAAGGTGAAAGATACTATCTGAGGATTCTATTGAATCATGTAAGAGGCCCGACATCATTTGAAGATTTATTAACTGTCAATGGAGTGCGTTATTTGTCGTTCAAAGAATCTGTACAAAAAAGAGGACTTCTAGAATCAGATGAAAGTATCTTAGAATGTTTGAATGAAGCGGTAACATTTCAATTGCCTCAAGCACTTCGTAGATTATTTGTAACAATATTGGTTTATTGTGGACCTTCAGAAGTAAGAAAACTATGGGACGATCAATTCAAATCCATGTCTGAAGACTTCAAGAGAATCTATAAGGATCAACACTCAACCTATATATCATGTACCTTGGATAGTATAAATTCTTTTCTAGAAAGCATGGGCAAAAATATCAGAGATTATGACTTGCCAACAAGGGTTGTAAGAGAGAATTCGAGTGCAATTGAACCAAGAAACACACAATCAAGAGAATTTGTAGATGAAATAAGCATCGAGACTCCACCAAAAGATTGCACAATATCCCTCAACTTTAATTCTGAACAAGAAGAAGCATATAGAATAATATTGAATCGGGTCAACTCAGGTCAGCCAGGGGTATTCTTTGTTGATGGTCTAGGAGGAACCAGAAAGACGTATCTCTACCGTGCATTGCTTGCGAACATAAGATCCAAAGGACTGATAGCACTTGCAACAGCAACATCTGGTGTAGCAGCTGCAATAATGCTAGGGGGTAAAACAACTCACTCACAATTCAAAATACCTATACTTATAACGAGGACAAGCCTATGTAACATATCCACGCAGAGTGGAACAACAGAGTTAATACGCAAAGCAAAACTCATTATATGGGATGAAGCCCCCATGGCTAAGCGGTTTGCCATTGAGACACTCGATAGGAGCTTAAAGGACATAATGAGCAATTTTGATTTATTTGGAGGAAAGGTTATCGTCTTCAGTGGAGACTTTAGACAAGTACTACCAGTTGTTCGGCGTGGTACAAGAGCAGAAACCGTTAATGCAAGCTTAGTGAGATCACACTTGTGAAATATCATGGAAAAACTAAAATTTAGACAAAATATGAGAGCAAGGGCAGATCCAAATTTTAGTGATTTTCTCCTGCAAGTTGGAAACGGAGATGCACAGAAAGACAATGATGATAGGATATCTCTTCCAGAAGAAATGGTGATAAAGTATGACAATGAGGAAGCATCTGAAAATAATCTCATCAACAACATATTTTCAGCATTAGAACAGAATGCAAACTCGGCAAACTACATGACAGAGCGTGCAATCCTTGCAACAACCAATCAAGATGTCGACAAGTTGAATGAACGATTGATTTCGATATTTCCATGAATAAGTACAACATTCAACAGATTTGATGAAGTAGTCGATGATACAAACAATTATTACAAAGAAGAATTCTTAAATTCCTTGATGCCAAATGGCCTCCCCCCACACAAATTAACCCTCAAACCGAATTGCCCAATCATGCTTCTAAGAAATCTGGATCTGTCAAATGGTTTATGCAATGGAACCAGAATGGTATGCAAAGGATATGTCGAAAATGTAATTCATGCTGAAAACATATGGGCAACATATTGGGAAACAAGTTTTCTTACCAAGAATGCCGCTTTCACCTGCCGAAAATGAAGGTTATCCATTCCAGTTCAAGCGAAAGCAATTTCCAATACGTCTGTGTTTTGCAAAGACTATAAATAAAGCACAAGGCCAAGCAATACCATATGTTGGAGTTTACCTTCCTCAACATGTTTTTTCCCATGGTCAATTATCTATCGCATTATCATGGGGAACTTCAATGTTAACAACAAAGATTTTGGTCAAACCAGATAATAAGAAAAGAAGAAAATGAGCATATACGAAAAATATTGTGTACATAGAGGTTTTATCCCCCCACAGGTAATGATACCCATGAATTCTTGTTCTTATGTGACTATACAACTTCTTTATACTATTAATAAAAATAGTGTAGTATTTCAATTATGAAGTATTTCACGTTCATGATTAATGCTTTCATTCTTCAATCATTAAAAATTGTACTTCTCTTTTTTACAAATGATGATGAAACAGCAAGCCTCCAGTACACTCTACAGATTCAGTGGATTAATGTTCAAAACTATAATTGCAATTTAAAGTAGCTTAGCCTTTGCATATTCTATCTACCTTCAGAAACAGGTGATAATCAAAGCAAGGATATAATTTTATTAATTTTTTTATTTTATAATTCAGTTTCACATTGAATCAGAAATTATCTGCAAACTTTTAGCTTTTATATTGCATTCTTTATCTGTGTCTGTATGATTTTTTTTTTTTTTAATTCTGTGTAGGTAATAAGCACAAATAATAGTATTTATTTTGCAAGCAATAAATTCCAAGCAACAATGTCAATTGACGAAGTCTTAACAACTGCAGTTTCAACAATCAACCAATTAACAAAATACGAAAACAAGTGGAATCTAAAAGTGAAGGTTCTTCGAAGAGGATCAATTACCACATATAGCAATAACAAAGGCACTAGAGAAATTTGGAAAGTCATTTTAGTTGATGAGGAGGTTAGTTAAATTATCAATATTATCTTAGTACTTTTGAGATACACATTGTTAATGTTTTATTTTTTCAATACAAAAATTTTGCAGGGTACAAGAATACAAGCGTTGATGTTTAGCAATGTAGTCACCAAATTCAGTAACCTTTTTATCAAAGATAAGACATACTTTGTTTCCAACGGTATAGTAAAGCCTGTAAACCCAAAATACACAAGTGCTCACAAGGACATCAAATTGGCACTAACAATCTTAACTGAAGTCAAGAAAACATAAAGCGAAATAACATCTCAAGAACTATCATATAACTTCATCTCTTTCATAGATGCAGTAACACAACCAGACGAGAATATGACATATGGTATGTATCCTTAAACTATATTTCACACACCATGCATAATCAATTATCTTAATAATAGTAATTTTGTAATTGTACATCAAAATTTGTGATGCAGATATAATTGGTTTTGTTATTGAAGTCAAGTCAATAATCAATATAAACAAAGATGGAAAAGGTCCCCCATCTAATATGAGAGAAGTTGTACTCAAAAATAACGAGTAAGAATCAACCATACCACATTTTTCTTATGTTATAGCTTATAGAATTTACTTAATACTTTCTAATGATCACAGATTGTATTTGCTACGGTTAACCCTATGGGGGGATCTAGCAAAAAATGAAGGTCAAATACTTGAACAATTACTTCCACAAAAACCAATCATTGCAACATCTCAAGCAAATGGCTCAATATACGAAGGTGAGTACTAAATTATATTTGTGAATTAAACAATTAATTTACAGTTCTAAGACATTTGTTGTCCTATTTCAGGTGAATTTCGGCTTACTACAACATCTATTACGACAATTGAAATAAATCCAGAGCTGCAAAAAGCAAAGCAAATGTGAGAATGGTTTGCAATTAATATACATTTTCCATAAATTTATTTATTTTTTTTAAAAAAAACATCTTGTGATAATAAATCCAATATGCAAGTTAACCACTTTTATAGATGATGAGAATGAAAAGCAATTTTCAACTCCAACAAAAAGAAAAAGAGATGCAGAACAAGGAACAATTGTTTATATCATGAAGGGAACACCACCCACAAAGAAGGTATGACTTAAATACATATTACACTTAACAAATTTTTATATTTTAGTTTTAATATATATATATTTAAATTTTCTACAATTTGCAGACAGTTTTTTGTGCTTTAAAAGCAATGATTCTAAGCATAAAAAATAAAGAAGAACCATGGTACAATGCTTGCAAACACTGCCAAAGAAGGGTCATCATCACAAAAGATGGAGCAGAATGCAAAAAATGTGAAAAAACAAATGTTGAACACACTCACAGGTAACTATGATATGCAATAGTTAGTTCAAATTTTCTACATTTTTTTTAACTTTACACCACCATTTAATATTTTCAACCATCTTATTAATGTTATACAACATTTTTTTATTATAATATATATATACTCAAACTCATCATATCAGATGGAGACGAAAGGGCTTCTGTTACTTTATTTGATGCAACACAAACTCTTATAGGATGTCCAGTTTCAAAATTCATTGAATCAAAAGAATAGGTATGCAATAACAAACTCACTCAATTCAAAAATTATTAAAACAAATACTAACTCTTTTCGTATAACATGACAGAACAAATTGCAATGCATGTATTACCAAAATCTACTATTATACAGTGGACAGTACTTCAACTTTTTGATAAAAGTTAGCAAATTAAATGAGAATGATCAATCAATGGGAAGATTTGTTGCTCAAGAAGTTGAAGAATTGAGGATTCAGAAACAAACATACAATCGGCAAGAAAAGGACAAAAAACAAAGAAGAATTTGTTTCCTTGAATATACAGAATTGTCAAGAAAAACAACCACTCAACAATGTTTTTATGCATTATCATCCTCCTTTTTAGTTATTGTTGAACATACGTGACTTTTTGCATTTTTCATATTCGAATAAAGACTTTTTATATTATTTTTTAATTCCAATATTTGATGGGACTCGCAATCAATTTAACAACTATACTGAATTAAATCAGTAAATTAGTTCCAAAAAAGTAGTACTCCTTTTCAAACACCATATATTGTAAAAAAAAATTGAAAAAATTAAAAGATTAAGTGTATTTTTTCTTGGTATTTTAATTATTCACCTACCTTTACAAAAAAGAATTCAATTTTATTACTCATCAATTTTGCATTTCAAATAAATTTAATAACAAATTAATAAACTAAATTTTTTTCAGGTGCAACGCACGTGTGCATTGCTAGTTACTTATAAATATCAGTATCTGTAAAAAACTTTTGATTTCCTATTTTATCTTTAATTATTATTATAAACTCAATAATACCCACATATTACTTTCATCTCATTTTTATTTTTTATACCTATTTGAGTTTTAAATTATTTTGAACTCTTTTATTACAGTATTTGAATTCTAAATTTTTTATTATTTTCGTACTCTTTTTATTTCCTATACCTATTTGACTTCTAAGTTATTTTGAACTTTTCTATTAATAGTATTTGAATTATAAATTATTTTGCACTCATTTAGCAGCAGGACATTTTCGTAGGTTTTCTATATCTTTGTAAATAGAAAATCTATTAATAATAAGATAGAATCTAATTTAAAATTTTTTTTATTTCAAAATTTAATTCAATTTCAATTCATTTGGGAAAGCAAAACAATGGTTCAGATTAAATCTAATTTTAATTCAAAGGCCTAAATTTCATCTCAATTCTTTTGATTAGATCTAATGGTCCACGTTTCATCTCAAACTAAAAATAAATCCCGCCCACATGAAACAAACCCCTACACACTACCCACCTTTGCACTGTTCACCACTCACCTCCTCTGCCATGGCTCATGGCTCAACACAGCGGTACCCTTACACGCTACCCTTACACTGTTACCCTTACACCGTTACCCAAACTCTTCTCACTCATCTGTCATTACCCAGACTCTTCTCACTCATCTGTCATGGCTCAGCGATAGCACACACCATTCACACCAACGTTCTCGGGGGCAGCACACACATCAGCGGCAATCAGCGATAGCTCAGCCCAGGTACCTCCCTCTCCCACTCTCTTCTTCTCTCTCTCCAATTGCTCAGCAGCACACACACCATTCACATTCACACACACAACTCCCTTTCACCAATGATCGACTTTTGAAACATGGGGGTTTTCATGACATTGCGCATAAACATGGGGGTTTTCATGACATTGCACATAAACATGGGGGTTTTCAGCAGCACACACATCGAGGTTTTTGAGCTTTAATGGAAAAAAGTTCTCTGTGGACAGAAGGTGGTGGACCTCAGTGGGTTAGTCCCATCGGGTCTCTTCACTCACCCGGGTTCATGGGTTTCATGCCCTAATTGTCAGCTTTGTCCTTGGAGAACAACACGTTCTCGGGCATGATACCGATCCAATACGCATTCAAGACGTTGGTTCCGGTTACATTTAGATTGGGTGTCCTTTAAAGTTTTTTTTCTGTAATGGTGTACAGAAATCTTCAATGGAGTGTAGGAGCTTTGATCCTACCATTCCTTGAACAGTGTGAACAAGGTCTGAACATACATCAAAATGCTTACTTATAAGCAAAGCATTAGCTTATTTTCGCGAGTCAAAAACCCAGTACATAATTATTCACAAATAGCATGAATGAGTTATTTGCATCCCCGCTTATTAGAATTGAATTTGGGAATTTGAAGCAATAATCAATTAAGTCCTTAAGTTAGATAACAAACTGGCTTCGTTTGTACATCGGGTACTTGGATTATGTATTTGAGTGATAGTTAAGTAAGTAGTATTGGGTACCAACATTTTGTAAGTAAGTATTCCTTACAACAATTATAATATCAAATTTTTGTCAATTAATTGTATGAAATCAGATATCGACTTAACGATCAATTATTTTCCCAAGCTATCTTTTGGCTATAAAGGAGCAATAACGTCACCAAAAACACAAAGTAGAACCAAAATGAAGCATAAAACAACTGCTGAAAAATCTGCTTTCATAAATCACATATCAATGCCCAGATTTTTTTTTTAATTGATAAGAAATTCAGTACATCACATACTAAATGCAAAATCACCCTTCAAAGCCAATGGAGCTGCGTCCTCTCCAATCGTATGTTTTGCGATGCCTCTGTTTTTCCCAGCAATACCCTTTTTTCCCTCTGTTTTTCATCTTTGGCTGCAACTTGTTTTTTCTCTGACTATCCATTAGACCGCTAATATATGAAACATGGATACTCAAGGATTTGTGGGTTTGACTGTGTGTGTATGTGTTGTCATGAGAGAGAGAGAGAGATGGGGTGCACCTGGGCGTTTGATTATGCATTTGATTTTGGCTTATTTTGAATTTATGCATTTGATTTTGATTTTTTTTTTGCTGGTTATCTTTATCTAATTTGCTTTAATTTTTCAATCATAAATAGTTGAGACATGATTTTATCAAGTGTGGCGAGTCATTAATATGTGATTGTGAAAATTCTCGACAATACTGTAGGCCGTCACCTCATTTTTCTAATAGTTTAATTTGGGCCTGTTTTTTCACAGTGCCACTTCTTATTTCTAGAGTTTTCTTGGACATTAATACGACATGTTCTATAATTTTTCGTATAAATGCATTGGATATTTTTTTATTTGTTTGGGGTAGAGAACATGCCCTTAGGTCTAATTTTCCTTTTTTAATTGTTTGGATTAGGACTATAAGTCATCACTGGTTAAATTAAAATTGTGTGAATCAACTGAGTTGTGATTTAAATTAAAATTGTTTTTATCATGATCTTTCTTTTTTTACCGGAAAGTATGATTTGTGGAGTTTCCAATAGGTCTGTTATTGCTTCAAGTATTTATATTGGTGGTTGGACTGATACGGAAAAAAAATGTACTCTAGCCCTAAGGCAGGCGGAATATAAAGAATGAGAACTTGATAAGAAACCTTTGGTTGCAGCAGCAAGGATATTAGCAATTGTCTGCATTATGTGGAGGCAATCAGTCATGGTTTGGGACCATTTCTTCGTGTTTGAAGCTGAAGGCATAAAAACATACTTAGTGCAAATGACTGAGATGCAAACACACACTCCAATGAGACCCAAACAGCACAAGAATTGGTATGATCCACTAATTTTTTATTTGTAATTCTATTTAAATCGGATCAGTGTGTGTTCTTTGTTAGAAGAGAGAGTTTATTTCTTGGTGGACTGTTAGTCTACAGAGTTAAAAATCAGTCCTTTACCCTTTTGGTTTCTAAATCCTTCACATACTTCCACCGACTTGGAGATTTTATTCTGCTTTTTTATTTTTTTTTCCTGGGATTTTTTTGCTATTGAATGGGAGTTAATTTTCCAGGAAAATTGTGGCCATGGGAAAGTCGTTGAAAGATTCTCTTAAAGCTCTTGAAGCTGATATTCAACTTGTCAATACTCTGTAAATCTCTCTCTCTCCCTCCCTCTCTCTCTCTCATTTTGTTTCCCTTTGTTTTTTCTATCTCTGAATTGAATGTTGTTGTAAAGCTTTATTATCCTTGCTTTTTTTTCTTTTTTTTTCCAGCTTTGTTTTGGACTGATGATCATGGGAAATTAGTTACCAGTACTTTCTAAATCTACCTCTTTGTCTCTGATTTTTTTATCTCTTTCTAAATCCACCTCTTTGTCTCTGATTTTTTTTTCCTCTTTTTTTTTATATCTCTGATTGAAAGTTTTGTGAAGCTTTGTCATTAATTTTTTTGTGCTTTGTTTGACTCAGAATCATGAGAAATCTGTTGGGGAGCTCTTATTCTATGTCGTTTTAAATTCCATAATATTTGTATATGCATTAATCCATGTGATTGGGTGGCATAAATGGAACTAGTGGAATAAATTCCTGACAAA